TCAGATTACAGATATATGCTTCCTATCAGACCAGTAAATGGCCGTAGGATTAAATAAAATCATCCTAATCGTCCAAACCTATCGTGCGGGTCTGATGGTAGTTAATACTCAACTGTTTACGTACGTGAATAATGCATCCGAGAACAATACGCTGGTGCATGCTCCCAATGGACTGATTCCGTGATTTCTTTCTTCTTATTATTAACAGCTTCCTTGAATAATGCTTCTGAATAATTGTGAGTAGTTTCAAAACTAAAATTATAATATAATATAATAATGATATTTTTAGATGCATTTCTCCAACGCCCAAGACTCGGACTGTGCCGACTTCATTTCTCTCGAGCTTTCCTGTCTCCAAAGAGACGATGCCAACAAGAAGAAGAAGAAGCAGCATGTGGTGGAGGCCAAGGTCGTTTTCAGTTTCATAGACCAGGTTGAGATGCAGAATCCAGTCTACATTGCTCAAGCTGAGACATGCAGCTTCCATGATTTTTCTCGGGCCAGACACATGTTCATCACAAGACAAGCCCTTGAACAATCATCGGTGAATCTAAAGGACGATTCTTTCACCATCCGGTGCGACATCATGGTCTCCTCCTCTTCCTCCTGCAATCCCAACACCAAGGACCAACTCCTGCCTCACATGTGCCAGCACTTTGAACATCTCCTTCAAACTGAGGTGGGCGCTGATGTGAAATTCGAGGTCGGCGGAGACACGTTGGCTGCACACCGGTGTGTGCTCGCAGCCCGATCCAAGGTCTTCATGTCATAACTCTTTGGCCCCATGAAGGAAGGCACTGATAACACCGGTGTCATACACATCAAAGACATGGAAGCAAGCGTGTTCAGGGCTTTGCTTACCTTTATGTACACAGACTCATTCCCTTTTATGGAGGAGGACAACGGACAAGAAGAGGAGGAGGAAGCAGCAGCAGAGGTCATGTCCACTCTTGCTCTAGCCGAGCAGCACCACTGCCATGGATTGAAACAGGCGTGCTTCAAGTTTATCCAAGTCCAGTCCCCCTCATATCTGCAAACACTAATGGCATCTAATGGCTGGGATCATGTCTTTGAGACCTACCCCTCGGTTTTGAAGGAGCTCATTGCAAAGCTTGCTTCGAACCACCGGAAATAATACTTTCTATGCCGTACATGTAACTTGTTAGATCTGAAGTGACGGTCTTATGCATATGTGGGATCCTCTAGAGAGATTGCTTTTGTCTTGTCATCTACTGTATAATTTGCGTATTTGCTGGGCAAACTGTCGCTTGGTGCAGTGGTTGGTCTGTAAATTCCTTGGTGTGTAGGCGCAAATTGATCTGGTCAGTATGGAAGTTCCCTATCTAATGGTTTTATCCTCATGTATGTATATGTTTCTCTGTGTATTAGGTGTGTCGTACATCGTTCCTTTCTGCCTCCTTATTCTAGCTAGCTAGCTAGCTATTCTAAAGAAGAAGAAGAAGAATGTTGATGTTTCTAGAAAGTCATCTTAATTATGATCCTGGAATTAAGGGAACGAATCTGGATAACAAAACAGTTGACCAAGAATTCTGGTTACCATGACAGTGATAGTGTGAACTCTTGGTCCAGTACCTAGGACTAGGAGCCTTCTCATGGGTTCATCGCAGAGGAAAGTCAGAGCTTGAAGATTCTGCAAATTTCAGTGTTGTTGTAGCTGTGCCCTGTACCAGGTTTATGAACACATATTTCCTTGCTGTGTAGGGAGTATTAATTCATTCCAGTTTATGAACAAATGTCAGTCAAAACCTAGCCTGGGTATTAATTACAGCCAGCCAGGTTTAGTTTACAGAAACCAGAGGATATATATGATTCATCATCACCTTACCCTATCTGCTTGCAATTGCATGTTCTGGAACACTCACTATATATGGAGGTGTACAAAATATACTCCCTCCGTAAATTAATATAAGAGCGTTTAGAATACTAAAGTAGTATTCTAAACGCTCTTATATTAGTATTCTAAACGCTCTTATATTAGTTTACGGAGGGAGTACACAATAATATCTCAGTTTCTGTGTGTCTTTGTGTGGATGCAAAACCAGGCCAGATACACAATATGGAGAGTAATATGGACATGCGAAAACTCTTATAGTGTATTATATATTATAAATTGTTCTCGGCTGATTCTTGTCTACTCCACCAAGTGTCTGAAACTTTTGGCTTATTCTTGGAACTTCATTGGAGGGTTCGCGACACACATCAGCAAGGAGGAACTCTCCAATCTAGCGAGCGACACGGGCGGCGACCCAGGCTCCCTCCGGCAGCCGGCCCCTCCGTCTGTCTCCCTCCTCGCCGCCGCCGGCAGCCAGCAAAGGGTCCGAGGCGGCGTGCAGCGGACGCGACAGATCTGGTCCCTGCGGGTGCTCGGCGTGCATGGTGCTCGACGGTGCCCCTGATGTTTGGCTGTGGCTCGGAACCGTTGTGGTTTCTGGCCTCGGGCAGTGCTCATCTGTTCCTTCCCGGCATGGTGCTCGGCATGGAATGGTGGCTCGCTGCATCCGACGATCATGGGTCCGTTCGGCCGCTGATGGTTCTGGTGCCTGCTGATGGAGTTTGGCTGCTGATGGAGATGCAGCGAGGGAAGGTGGGCTGCCGGATTGGCTGTCGACCGGAGGATTACGAGGGCTGGGTGAAAACCCGTCTCTGGCCATGGCCGGAGCCTGTGACGGTGGCGTCTGTGGACGCCGTAACCTTTTTGAAGGCGTCGACAGAATGCTCTCTCTTCCTCTGCGAGGGACAACTTCGGGGGAAACCCCAGACCCGGAGGGTCAGTCGTTGGCGGCGTGTTGGCGTCGTTTCCCTCTCGAGGGCATCGATTTTGAAGTTCAATCCGGTCAGAGGGACCAGCTGGTGTGTTGGGAGGTTGGTGGTATGCGTTGGTGTGGCGTCGAGGCTTCTGTGGCAACGACGATAGGGCAAGCGAAGTCGGAGACATTGCAGTGGTAGTCGGCTCTTCTTCGGCGTGTTCCTGGGATTACCTCGGTTTGGTTGTTGTGGTGAAGTCGGAGCTGCGGCAGCGGGGCCCCTGTGGCAACGATGACAGGCAGCACGTGGTCCGTTCGGTGGTCTTCCACGACGCCAGTCTTGCATAGTTCTCCTTTGGATCTTTGCTTCAGAGTCGGAGCTGCGTAGCCCTCGATGCGGGTGGTTGAGTTCTGGCATGGATCTTCATGTTTTCCTACTCAGCCTCTGCGGTGAGTGTTGGTTCGACGTTCGTCCCCGGAGAAGTCAGAGTCGCTTGCTCGGGGATTAGGGATGGCGATGACGCCTGTTTGGGAAGAAGTGATGACGATGACGCTTGTGTGCTAGCTTGACAAGACACTCTTTGTAAAGGTGTGCGTGGGATATCTTGGTGTGCCGCTCAGCGGTTTGTGACGGTTTTCGCCCGGTTTTCCGTTGATTAACTGGGCAATTCTCTTCTGCTTAATTAATGGATGAGGCAAATCATTTGCCTCCGTTTCGAAAAAAAAAACTTCATTGGAGGAGTGTTGTCATTTGAGTATTGTTTTGTAAACTCGCAGCCGTCTGCATGCCATGCCATATTGTGATAATTCATTCATTCTACTGTCATTCCACATGTACTATGCAACTTTCGGCTTATTCTTGGAACTTCATTGGCTGGCTGATTCTTGTCTAGTGAAACAATAGTTTGTATGTTTTGGTAAATACAGGGGTGGGCATTTTTGCTTGAATCCACACAATTATAGTTGAGTGCTATGTACAGTTCCGTAAAAAAAACATTAGAATATTGCATGATTTTATTTTATTTGCATCCTGCAAATTTAGGCTCGATGTGTTTCAACCAAAATTCATAATAGGCTGTTTCGACCAAAAAAGGTGTTTGTATGTTTCAGCGTTTTTGTGGGCAGTCTGGGTAAGTGAAGCTGCAGTATTTCTTCCTTCCCCTGTCCCTGTTACTGTTACTGCTGGCTCTGTTGTACAAGAACAGAGTATCGATAAAAAAAAAACAAGCTAGGACTACCAAGAACAGAGTATCGATCAACGAATGAGGTCATATATAGTGCACTACAAGAACAAGCAGCAAACAGCAACAACATTCTTATATACAACATGGTGCACAACATAACCGCAGTAAACCGATTCAGGAACAAGCTAGGATGGATGCACAAACATTTCTGTGATTTCACCGCTAAAAATAAAAATAGTTGGGAGCACACCAACCAAACACAAACCAATAGCAGCAATCTCAACTTGTCAAAAAAAAAAAACAAACAAAAAAAAGGAATAGCCTCCAGTATACTGTATGACTAGCAATGTGCCCGTGCGTTGCAACGGATCCAAAGTAGAATAATACATGTTCACAAACTTGAAAGAAAAACAATCTAATTTTGG